TTTTTTTTTTTTTTTCTCAAATCTTTGTAAGATAAGATAGGCCAAAACTGGGGTAGTTTTTGTAACAATCCCTACTAATGTTTCTAATAAAAGTTAATTTTAAAAATTTGCTTGAATGAATTTGATATTGTTTGTTGTACTTCTCTAAATTGTAAATCTTGGGAGCAGAGGCTTGGTTTTACTGCAGTTTCATAGGTCTAAACATGTTTCAATACTTTATGAGCTTCATAGAATATCTTATTAATTGGCCTAGATATGCTTTAGTGTTTGGTTGTATTTTGTTTGATGCAATCATCGAATTGGTTGGGTGTTAAATTGGAAATTTTGTATAAGCATAAACACATTCGTACTTTTATGGTTGGTGTAACAAGCCAATAAACATGTTTTATCCTTGATTTATTGCGACTTTGGTACATCTTACAATTCAGATGTACTTCTGTTTATGTTGAACTTAAGTGATCTATGTCAAGCGCCATATTCACTTTTTTCTTGTGAGTCACTGAGTTGGGGGAAGAAGCTCCTATTAGATATCTTGTTCTAAGTGCGGCTGTTTACTTCATTAATATGATTTCCTAAGTAACTAAATGGAGAAATTAAACCGCACACTGTCTTCTAATTTGGTTATATACGACGCCTGGTTATATGTTTTGATTTTTTGTGCATTTCTAGGCGAAACACTATTTGTTCTTTTATTTGGTTTCTTTCTCAAATGGGAAACTAGAGTAATATTTTCTTTCTTCTATATCTCAATTTAGTTAAATTTGTCTAACTTTAATCTTTCACAAGGGTATTGTATAAAGAATATTTCTGCAGTCTCCCATGGAATCTACAATTGAAGTAAATCAAAGACTTAATCTTTTAACAGTTCGCTGAGAGATTTTGGGAAAGAGAAGTATTCAAATTTATGTGTTTGTCTATCTCTTAATAATAAATATCTGAACAAGAATATACTGACTTAATTACCTGGCCATGTTGCTGTTTGTTGCGCATCTGTGTTTCTTTTGTTACAGATGCTGTTTCTGTCTCCCTCGAAGCTGAATAACCAGATATTTGATCTCACCATTTCCTTATTTTAGCTTAGAAATTTGAATGATTCTCTTTAGATGTGCAGTCCTGGCCGTAAAACAACTTATTTTGTTAGTTGTCTTATCTTGTTTACTAGTCTTTCTACTCTCAGTCTGATTTCTAGTCTTGCCTACTGTGGCAGAATTTTCGCTTTTGATGTTTGCCTTTTACTGTAGGACGGACATGCAACTTTATAGATTCAATATGTGTTTCTGTTTGAAGAGATGATATTCAAAATTATGAAGCTAACCGGTTACTGTATGCCAAATTGGTGCTTTAAATTGTGAGGAAGTAAAAGAGTCGGGTTTAAGATGCACCAGATAAGGTAGTTTTTGGTATAACTGGAGATGTATAGAGGGAAAATACTTCTGAATTATATAAAAAGGAGCAGATTGTTTTCTTTTAATGCCTTGCTGTTGAGAGTGGATTCTTTGCAATACACAAATATCTGTTTTTATAAGAACTCATGATGTGTCATCCCTGTTATTACTACCTGTTTGGACGTTGGTTTATGATTTTTTACTCATTTTCTTTTGATTCATGCCCCTTTTGTGGCCTTTGCTTGCAGATTTACTTTGCCTGACCAGTCATTTAAGTTGCTTAGTATCGTTGTCCTTGGTTTTTTTTTTTTTTTTTTTTTTTTTTTT